ATCTCATGTTTATATTAATCTATGTCTAAAATAATGACATCACATCATTTAAGAATTAAGATATTTTATGTTATATAATTATTTAATCAAATTTACTTTTTTGAAATACAGTTATTTAGATTTACTTAAAATATGTATGTAATGAAGTAATCAAAAAACAAAATTAATAATAAGATATTTATTTTTTCAATGAAAATCTTGGTCAAAGGAATCAATGTTTGATAAGATAGTGTGAAAATTGGAGAGAATTTGATAATGAATTTTTTTAGTTAGCCAATTGTGATTTTATATTAAAATCTAAATAAAAAAAATATGTAAAAAAGGGAGAAAAAGAGGGAGATCTGGTGATCATAAGGATTAGAGAGTCGGTTATGATCATAATGAAAATGAAAGTGAATATAATTGAGAGACTAAATATAAGTGAGATAGATTTTGAAATCATTTATTAATACTATGTGAAAGTGTTTTGAAGATTGAACAAAATCTGGTGAAAATTTTGCAACCAAAGAGAGATAGAAAGAGTTTTAAAGTGAAATATTGAGGATCATATTAAGAACGAGGGTAAGAGAATGAATATAGGTGATTGTGAGAGAGTGAATGTAAGTTTGAGAGATTTTGAAATTATTTGATCAACTAAGAGAGAGAAAAAAAGGAAAAAGAGAGAGAGAGAGGTGTACAAAGACATACAAAAATAACGCAAAGAGAGATACATAAGAAACAAAACGAATGTGTGAAAAAATACAAGGAGAAACGAAATGAGTAAGATAGAAATATATATTAAAAACAGAGTATCTATGTAAAAGAGAAAGAAAGTTACAATATATTTATACATTTATATTATTTTTTATTCATGCAATGTATAGATTATATTAATGTCCGCATAGACGTGATGCGGACCGTCCACCTAGTCACATAGTAAAGACAAGCAAGAATGGACATTTCATCCGTTAATTTTGAATCGTTTTGTTCTTTGTTTCAATTTTCTACTAAAAGCCGGATATCCATAAGTTTTCGAAATATATATGAAACCAGTTTACTTTCTATATTGACTGATATAAATATTCATTTGTGACCACTATGAATTTGTATGTTTTTTACAAAAAAAAAAACTAAACATTACATTATATTTGTGTATGATAATTTCTCTTACTATTCATTTTTTTAATTAACATGTGAAATTTAGGATTAAAATTTGAAAGTTATTATAATCACAGAGTAGAAAATATATATTAACCACCTTTGCAAAGCATATTGCGATTTGATTTATTAGATAGACATTATATTTATTGTGATATTGTACCAAAACCAACAAAATAGGAAAGGTTAAGATTTTATAGCTGTTTGTTTAAATATTGTGTCCACTGCATTATTCCTTTGTTCCCACATTCAAAGGAAAATGAAGATTTTATAAAAATATTAGCTGATTTAAACATTATTTTTGGTATATGTATTTGATTTTTCTAATTCTAGATATTTTCAGTTAAACTAAATAAGGTTTTTCCATTAATCATTTTCAACTAAACTAAATAAGATTTTAACATCTAATCTATTAAGACTGAAGTACAAATAGTACTTAGTCCTGAATTTTCCACAAAAATTACATCATAATGCCACTGCCATCGAAACACTGTCGTTTTACATTATCATCTTTAATTTCTTTGACTTGCGTTATCTACACCTAATATTACCCTCTTTCTTACCGAGCCATTATATTTCTTTTGGGCTTACAATATATTCATGGCCCAAATTATTGTTATATTTTGCATTTTACCAAACTGAACACAGAAAATCATTTATGTGTTGTTTCAAAATGTGCTAACCTTTTGCAAATATTAGGAACCAATGATGACATGATCCACATTGAAATAATGATTTATGAAACCAAAATCTGTTCTTATTTTTTTAGCATTCTTCTTATTTTTGAATGTTGTTTTTAAACTTGGTTTCATTACTGTTACTATTGATTTGTCTAAATATTTTTTTTGTATAAAAAATCTAACTGCAATTTTATGGGCAATTCTCAAATAGACTTTTTAAGTTTTTTTATCAGAAAAACAGATCTCAAAAACTAAATGACCAAAATAACATTTTTTATTTTGAAAATTTTAAATTTTTATTTTTATTTTTTAAAATTTGAAATCCTATCTCCAAAACTCCACTCCTCAACTCTAAACAAAAAGGTCTAGAATTAGTTAATCCAAAGGATATAAGTATATATTTACTTATTTTTTATAAAACATTTAAGTCTATTTTGGTTATTTTTATTTTTAAATTCTATATTTGTGACAAAAACTTTTTTAGATCTATCCTAGAAAATTTCTCTAATTCTATATTCAACTTTAACACAAAATTTTTATATATTATATAATAAATCAACAACCTGACTCATTCTAATACTTTAGAGTTTAATCTATGAGAAAACTATATGAAAGCATAATAAAACAAAAACACAATTTTATAGTTTATAAACGAAACTAATAACATTGACAAGACAAACCAATACGAAAGCTAATAAACATATGAATATATAACATAATGAGTATAATTTTTTTTTATCAAACTTTCAAATTTAAAATACATATGATTACAATGAACAAATATCCGCGCATGTGCGCGGGTCAAAAACTAGTTAATTATTAATACTAGAGAATTTAGCCCAATTTTTTTCCATATATTTAAATTAATTGTAGATTATTTTATTTGAGTATATATTTATACTTAGATTAATTACACTATATAAAATATCAAGCAACTTTATAATTTTATTGCATTTGGTGATTACATTTGTAAGACTGTTGAAATTCAAAAAACAAATTCATCATGAAAAAAATCCATGTTTATAATAATTTTATGTGAAATAATCATTTGATTTTACTATAATAAATAAAACGCAAAAAAGTTAAAAAGAAATAGCACCTAAACACTTTAAAGTATTTATGTCAAATAAGTTTTTTAAAAATTTTAAATTAGTAGAAAATGTAAAATAATAATTTACTATAGAAACGGAAACTATTGTTAATTTTAAATTGTGTGCTACAAATATAAAATATAGCAGAAATATTCAAATATACATATTTATAAAATATGAGATAAATAAGACTATTAAAAACAAAAATAAAATTATACACATAAATTAAAGTATAATAACATAATTCATATATTTATAAATTTAAAATACATAATCCGCGCATAGCGCGGAAAAAGAATCTAGTTAAACATAATAAGAACACATGCATATCTTATGATAAATTAAATATAGAATAATTTTCTTTAAAATTTTAGAGCTCTTGAATAAAGTTAAATCTCATTAAAATGTTTTATGAAAATAGGTTTGGACAGATTAATATGGTAGAGAACTTATCAAACCATAATGCCAAATCTTTTAGATTAGCATCGATCGGCGATACTTCGTGATCATCAATCGACGTTCCTATCATAAATTCATTTGTCTAACTTGAATTTGAGTTCAGAGCTATACCTAATTAAAACCCTTGTAATTTGGTTAGTTATACCTTCATATTAACTAAGAATTCCATTAATTCTAATTTATCTCCCTTTGATTAAATCTACAAACCAATCGTGCAATTACTTTATTATTTATTAAATATTGTCTATTTTTATTACTAAATTTTAGAGCTCTTGAATAAAGTTAAATCTCATTAAAATGTTTTATGAAAATAGGTTTGGACAGATTAATATGGTAGAGAACTTATCAAACCATAATGCCGAATCTTTTAGATTAGCATCGATCGGCGATACTTCGTGATCATCGATCGACATTCCTATCATAAATTCATTTGTCTAACTTGAATTTGAGTTCAGAGTTATACCTAATTAAAACCCTTGTAATTTGGTTAGTTATACCTTCATATTACCTAAGTATTCCCTTAAATCTAATTTATCTCCCTTTGATTAAATCTACAAACCAATCTTGCAATTACTTTATTATTTATTAAATATTTTCTAGTTTTATTACTAAAAAAATAATCTATTATATAATCTTAGAATCTATGTAGATTCAATAACTTAGTACTATAGCTAAAGTTATTATTTGAGAGAGTAATTAGTAGTTTTAGAATAACGTGAGCACTATCAGATACCAATGGTAACAACAACAAAAAATTCAATATTAATTTGATGATATATAGATTCATTGCTTACAATTCTCGAAGCATAGACGAATAATTCTGTCCCAAGCTGCGAAAAATTAGCAAGAAGACATAAGAGCATAGTTGCCAGTATATTTCATTTTTGTAATTATGACATATTTAATTTGTGGTATTCACAAGTCACTAGATAGTGAAGTGATGTTGTGGAGAATCCCTGTCAAAGTAGCTTGGTTTTCACATTGAAAATCACTAACTCGTTAATGCCAGCGTGCAATTTTTTTTTTTTTTCAAACTGAGTTGGATACAAAACTTGTTAAAAACTCTAGTTACTCAACAGTGTCATTAATCCATATTTGGATCGTTAGGCTCCCTAAAACATATCAAAGTAGTAAGGAATGAATTCGTACTTTTTCACACCGATTTATAAATAAAAATACGAGTATAGTAGGGAGATGTGTAAACGGGGAACTGATTACTCCCTTTTGAAGACAACTTTAAGAATAAACTTTGTTTAAATACAAGAAGATTTGTCTAAATGCGAATGTGGAAATAATTTAATGAGCTGCCTAAGTCAATCAACCGTTGAAACGGAAAAGCGCAAGAATAATTTAGCAGCCACCGTAAAGGTAGAAAATAAACTATTTCCAGACGTTGCTCAACAAAAGAAAAATATTTCCAAACGAAAAATTACATCATAACTCAAATATATGACGTCGAGTTATAATTCTCCTCCGTCTCTCTTTCTATATATACACTCCCAATCTTCCTTACGATAAATCACTTCACTCCACACCTAACGCTTTCGCTCATAAACTTTTTTTTTTACCTGATTATTCCAAAATAATATAAATCATCAGTTTAGCCCCCTAGAAATCAAGAATCATGCTAAAGATGGAAATTAACGGTAGCACTTCGACGGCTACGCCTACTGCCTCCGCCGTCGCTGTCGTCTCTGCGTCAGAAATCACCACTCCCGTCAGCTCTCCTTCTCCCACTTCTTCACCACCGCCGTCTCTTTCGCCGCAGCAGCCGCCACAACCGCCGGTGGTGCTAAGTCCTTGTGCGGCTTGCAAAATTTTACGGCGGCGCTGCGCCGAGAAATGTGTTTTGGCGCCGTATTTTCCTCCGACAGATCCGGCTAAGTTCACAATCGCCCATCGTGTCTTCGGAGCTAGCAACATTATTAAGTTCTTGCAGGTACTTTTCTTGTTTATTACTTGTCACACGTGTGTATTTCCTATGTTTATGTCACCATACACGTGTGTATATGAGCAGATATTTCACACTGGGTTATTAATATTTACTTGAAAATTATGATGAGGAAAGCTAACGCAAACTATATCTTGTGGTTATTAATAAAACATACTTTTATACAATGTAACACGTTTAATTTTGTTTTAGTAGTTAGTATTAATACCAAGTGTTTTCTTCTTTGTACAAAAATAAATTAACTTACATTTCTGAATCGAAAAAAGAAAATCTGGTTTTCAAAATGTGAAAAGGAAGTTTAAAGTTGTTAAAGTCTAGTTGTTGAACAATAATGGGTTCATGAGTCATGTGACGGGAACCAGGCCCTACAATGGGAATGAAAGGTCAATAACAACCTTTCCTCAAAGCTACATGCAGCCTCTCACTATAATACATATGTTCTGATGTTCAACATAAAAATAAACATATCTAAGCCTTTTAAAAGGTCGTATGTATAATTTACAAGTCTATCTCAACAATTCCTTTTCATTTACCTTTTGTAAAAGTCATGTACGATTTCTTCATGGTCAAACACACATTTAAATATTAAATATAAATTCCAAATATCCAAAATTTATGCAACAATCCACATTCCACATTCCACAAAATGTCCAAGACTTTTGTATTCTCTTGTAGAAAATCATGTTGTAGTGAAAGATGATTTGATTATGTTGTTGTTTTATTTTTGGTATCAGGAACTTCCGGAATCTCAACGAACAGATGCCGTTAATAGCATGGTTTATGAAGCAGGAGCACGGATGAGAGATCCAGTTTACGGTTGTGCGGGTGCAATTTACCATTTACAGAGACAAGTGAGTGAGCTTCAAGCACAACTTGCTAAAACTCAAGTAGAACTAGTGAGCATGCAACTCCAACGATCAGATCTACTAGAACTGTTATATAAAGTGGAACGAACAAAGTTATCAGCACAAGAAGTACACCAGAAAATGTCCTTTGAGAGTTCATTTGATAGTGGTGACGAATTCATTAGTAGCCCCGATGAAGTGACCAATGATTTGGGATTCCTTGAGGACACCAACAACAATAACTCATCAATGTCGTGGTGGGATCCTCTTTGGCCATGATCATAACTTATGGTATTATTAGCTTACTTTAAAGTGCTTTAGTGGTTACTTCCATATGCATATTAAAGACTTAGGATGTGATATATGGGAAGTTTAAATAATTTGTCTAAGTCAACCAATCATGTATAAGCACGTACGTAAGAGAACTGCTTCAAATTTGTCAAACATGCTACGTAATATTATTTTGAGGGGTATTAGATAAAAGAGAGGTTGTATTAAGATTCAAAGAGTCTTCTCCTAACGCTAATGAGAAGGAGTTAATCGAAATTTAATGGCTTGAATAATTTTTAGTTTGTTAAATATAATCCTTGTTATAATTTGTAATGTTTTTGTTCCACCTGAAAAGAATCTATATTACACTAAAAATGTCTTAAAGACGCCCATGGAGTGGAAAATCCCAGTATATGATAACAAACCAAAGTTTTACCGAGAAATATAACCTCACCAGCTCAATGCTAGAGTTTCGGTGTAATGAAGAGTGTGCCATTTTTTTTGTTATTCGAGGAAGAATTTGGTCGTAAGGCTTTAATTTTTTTTCTCGGTCTGGAGTCTCTATTTATTGAATCCACTTTTTCACCGGATTTCGAAACAGGAACGCGGCAATACAATTGTTTGCGTTTAAGCCAACTCTGGTGGTAAGAATGCAAGATTTTGCAAATTCTCCAATCAATTCTTATTACTTTGTTTAAGTAGGACGTCTAATTAGCAGTGGTGGAGCCAAAAACTTTTGTACAAGAGTCAGAATTTTTTTTCTTCCAAAAACATAATTACCATCGAAAACTAGAAATATACTCTACGATCACTTATAATTTAAAACTTGTTTATTTCATCTATTATTTTCAAAACAAATAACCAATGTGATTTCGTAATGTTAATTTGACAATCTACATTCATATCTTAGAAACTATCATCCGTTGGTATATTTTATTTGCAGATTCACAATGAAACTGACCATTTGTTTTCAGATAAATTTAAAAGATTAATCTACTTCTACTTCTAAATCTAAAACTATCTATTAAAGATATTTAGATCATGAACATAAACCCTAAACATTTTTATCATATTGAATCAATGAAGTGTAGCTGTCTCCTAAAATAATGTAAGTTAAAGAGGAGAGTATAACAAAAGATATTAGAAAAGTAACCTAAAATTTATCCAAAATTGCGTTCCTCGAAAAAAGTACAATTTTTCTCTTACAAATTCGCTCAGTTATGTTTTTAAACTTTTATAATTTAGTTATTTATATTGGGGATTAATATAAATATATATAACTAACATTTAATATAAAATGTGTTTATTTAGTTTAGGTTGATATTAATATAAATCCAATCTTTAACAAATAAAAATATAAGTATATTAGTTATATCATCAAATTTTATTTTTATTTTTTAATGTTTTGTACTTATGTATGTGAGGTTATATGTTTATTGGAGTCAGCTGACCCCCTCCTCCAGCCTCCGCCCTGCTTAATAGGGAAATGTGACCATCCCAAAATCCACATACGTATCTCCTGTATTTTAATAGAAACTGTCTGTTTTATAAAATTATTTTTATAGAAATTTTGATAATATAATAAATTATATTGGAATTACCAATATTTTATATGTATATAATTTATTTCATCAAAAAATTTACAAAATTGTAGATAAAATATTACATATAAATAATGCTACATAAGTTTTCAATAAAAATAAAAATTTAAAAGGTTAAGTTTAACCCTAAAACCCATAAAAATAAAATAAAAACTAATAATAATGAGCTGGCCTGTGCTTAAAAATGACAAGGTCCTTGTTATTCTTTCGCGCGCGCACCGGGAAACGACTAACATGCAGTATCTTTTTCGTCTGACGTATGTTTTGTTTTTACTATGAATAGTATAAATACAAGTTCGAAGTTCATGAAAGCATGTAATAATTAAGTCGGACTACTAATGAGTAATGTGAAATGCAAAAACTCCATTAGCTAAGGAAACGACGCAGACATGACACGTCTCTGTAGGCTATAGGGACCGAGTACAAGACACTACGCGGTTTGCTCCATGTGACGACATGTATACATATGTGTATGAATATGATCTTTCTATACGCACTCGTGTATGTATGAACAAATAAAATGTCAATAAGGTTACTGATGGAATTAACTAACGACCTCGATGTTAAAAGGAAAATCTAACAGCTTTAATGATTGTGTTTTCAAGGGTAAAAATTATTTGGACTATTGACCTTAATCATTGTGTTCCGATTGTCTCTCAAAATTTTCTCTTTCTATTGTAGTGATGTGATTCTCTATATTATTTATGTATTTAATTTAACACATTTAATTTCAGTCACCAATGTAGGACGAATATATCGTTTTTCTTTTCATTTTTGGCATAAGAGTTAATAAGATGATGAATATATTTATAACTCACATTTTCTATTAACCGTATAGCCAAAAACACAATATGTGTTTGCCGACAGTTAAGAATGGTCCAGTCTTCAAAAGTAAAAAGACAGTTAAGAATGGTCTAAGTAACACTAAACACTATTCATATGAATGGTCTAATTAAACACTCAACCAAAGAACAAAATCAATAGTGGTCCAAAACTAATGTATACAGTTTACCGACACCATGTGCATCACACGTGACTGCCATGACAAGCAAAAGAATAATGTGTATCGTTAGTTCGTTATTTGTCGGCATGAAGTTGAGATGACTAGTTACCACTATGAATTATGGCCTAACAAGTAAATGACACATTTACAGACAAACAAAACAAATTAATAAACAAAATTTAATCTAATCTATTGAAGTCGACCAAAAAGTATCTCAATGTTTTGCAATTTGATTAAAAATCACATTAATTAATCAATAATACTTTATTTCCAAAAAGAAATTTGGAAGAATGTTTTCTGAACTTCGCTACTATTATTTATTATAATAATGAGAAACCTGATGGCATGAAAAATGAAATATGTTTGTATACAGTAACTTTGACCCATAAGAGAAAATTGCTTCATACTGCTAAAGATTGTTGTTGGAGCAAAAACAATTAAAACACATCTCAATTTTGTTTGATTCTCAAATCTTCGAGAAAATAGTATGTTTATTAGGTTTGAAAAGTTTATGCAGCTAACGTGGGTTCGAGCGGGTGATTACATCCACATAAGCTAAAACGTAGCACCTAACAAGATGTGAAAATGACTCCCGTTAGAAGAAAGAATTTATTCAAAGTCAGAACAATAAAACTCACTTTTGCGGAGTTTGAATTAATATTTTTCGCATTTTGAATTATACGGAGGAATATATGGGAATGGGATTAGGTCCAAAATTTCCAAATTATATATATATATATATATATATATATATATATATATATATATATATATATATATATATATATATATATATATATATATATATATATATATATATAAAATTTCCAACAATCTATATATATACGTATCTATTTGTGCTAAAATATGATTTCTAAATTATCAGATTATAATTTTTTCTCATTTGAAAAACGTAACGATCATCGATAATCATATATACATATTATATATCAAATTTCTAATGACTATGAAGTTCTGGATCCAAAAACTCGTGAACCATGGAACATTAATTCTCTTTTTATATCAGTTCAACACTATTAGTTACGATTATTTAGATTAGGTTATATAATTGTAATTATTACACAAATTGCTTTACTTTTATGTCTAGTCCCTTTGTTATCATAAGCAGCCGAAAGGAAAAACAAAGTACCTACCTTGAGTCCTTCCAGTTTCATAATAGCATCAGTTAGAAAACCTCTTCATCGGATTTTATAGATTTTTATTCTGAAATTTCCCTGAGCATCCGACGCATGACAATTCTTATCACTAATTCTTAAACCAAGAATATAAATCTTTTAAGAACGGAAAATATTAATTAAAACTTCAAAAAGGTGAATGATATTTTTATAGTTTTTTGGTAAAAAAAATGTTTCATTTCTGTGATAGGAACCCAAACATTATAAATAGTCTATTCCCATGAGAACTGAACTTGGATAATGGATTACTTACTAGACACTCATTTACCATTAGGCCAACAGCTAGTTGGTGAGATTTTATAGTCCCACACTCGATAACAAGCAAAGATTAATAAAACCACCTTGGTCACATATCTTATTAGAAGCATTTTTGGGTAAGCCTGAGTCGAACTAAGGAGCTGATATAACCACTGCATGGAAGCCTCTGTGTATCTTGTTGAAGTTTTGTTTTTACTCCATGTTGAAAACATGTTTTGATCATATGGATTATAAGGTTTGAACAAGAATGGACGAAAATATTGTTTATGGCGTTGTTCGTTTGTCCATCTGTCATCTCCATCCAAATGATCCATTTAGAAGATTAATCCAAATTATCCATTTGAATGTTCTTCAGGTTTTTTCGTTTCTTCATCCAGATTGTTCTTCTAAATAAATCATCTAAATGAACTTATGTTCATTTGCTAATTTTTTATCCAACTAAATTAGTTTATTAAAAATGACTTATATATATTCTTGTTTTGAATTAATCATATTATATTTCATGATTAAATATATTATTTTTATTATTTATTTAAAATATAATTATTTTGGCGGTACAATATATTTGTGGTACGATATATTTAAAATATATCGATACAATATATTTTGGCGGTACAATATATTTGTGGTACGTTATATTTTGGCGGTATATTTGTGGTATGATATATTTAAAATATAATTATTTTAAATATAGTTTTGGCGGTATGATATGTTTGTGGTTTTGACAAAAAAATGTATTTTTAAGATTTTGGCGGGAAAATGTATTTTACGATTTTGGCCAAAAATATGTTTTTGTAGACTGGGTGGAAAATATGTTTTCCTGTTTGGGAAAATGTGATTTTTGTGGTTTTGGCAAAAAAGATTTTTAGCGGGTTTGGCAGAAAATGAGTTAATTGGTTTTTAGCGGAATGATGAGTTTTGTGGTTTTGACAAGAGAATATAATTTTGTAATTTTGGCGGGATATACATTTTGTGATTTTGGTGGGAAGGTATCAATAGTGTCACATGAATTGTAAATGAAAATGTTTTTTTTTTGGTTTTGGCGGGAAATGCGTTCTTAAAGTTATGACAGAAAAATGTAATTTTGTTATTTTTGGCGAGAAAATGTAATTTTTGGTTTTGGAGGAAAAAATATTTTTGCGGTTTTAGGTGGAATATATATTTGATTCTTCTTTTTGCGGCAAAGTGTAATTTTTCTATTGAAGAGAAATATGTGCTTGCGGTATTGGCTGTAACTCTAACTTTGCGGT